AGAGGGTAGTAGAAGAATTAAGTTCAACAGTAACTAATTTTGACAGTACTTGCTGAAGAAATTAGAATGTCTGTTTTTACATATTGAATTGCTCCATTATGGAAAGTGGGTGATAGTTGCTTTCAGGTGATGCTACAGTGAACCCTACTATTAGTTATTTAAAAAGCAGAGAAAATTCTAAAAGTGTTTTCACTGTCCTTCAGTGAAAATTTGGTAGCCAGTTTTCAACTGAAGCCAATACTTAAAAGTCTGCTGTTATTCTGCTGTTATCCATGTATGTGACATTTCTAAGTAGGACATAACACCAACGTGCTGTAAAAATCTTTCATGCTGTCTTGTTTAGTAATTGGAGATTTACAAGGAGGCTTTTCTTTACCTATAAACAGATTTTGATAGAGGGGATTAAAGCAGATACCTGCTAACTGCTGTTTCTGATGCTTTATGTATTGAACTGGATCTTAATGTTATTACATAGCTGGTGCCCTAGGTCTTTGATCTACAAAGAAAAACATTACTGATGAGGTTTATGCCAGACTTAGCCTTAAATGTCTGACTAAGTAAACTCAGTGTATTCTGGAAGGTCATTAATGAGGTGATCATGTCTTTCTTTTTGCAAGGACAGATTATTTTCTGAGGCTTTGCATAAACATTCACACAATTGTATTGAATTGATAGGTCCAATTCAAGTGAAGGAAAGTGAAACTAAATAATCTTCTTTAAGGAGAGGTGTAGCCTTTGGCTAAGGGTGTATTTTATTTTGAAGTTAATATGATTCTTTGATTTTGGCTAAATTATGTCTCCATGTACCCTCTTAACTACTAACCTTGGTGCTGCTCTGTTAGACACCAGAAGTTGGCAAAAGTCCCATCAAGCGTCCTGGGAGAATTGTTCTGGGGTTTTTTTTGTTTTTTTTTTTTTTTCCCTAATATATGTAAGATTTTGTGTTTCTGCAGGTGTAAAGCAAAAATTATGCTCTTTGGCAGTTCATGTGGGTTTTGATCATATGCCTGAGCTGAGTATGATCTTTAGCAGCAATTTGGTACAGTCTTAGCTTTGGCCTACCAAAATATTGGTTGCTTTGCTGTCTTGGATGTTAGTATGAAGAATCATCACCTGATGAAATTGCTGATACCCAAGTTCATAACATTCAGTATGATGTCTTTGGCTGATATGATTCAGAACCACAATAATTTCAGAAAACTTTACATAGAGATAACTCTTTTCTTTTAATCTTCCAGTGCTGTTTCCTGGCTCAGCCTGTTACAAGACTTTAGATGCCAGTTTGTTTATTTGAGAGGGGACTCAAATCTTGACCTTAGGTTTAGATTTTCTCTTATCATATGAACTGGCATTTGGTGTGTTTTGCTATAACTACAAAATATAACTTCTTTGGTAATGTGTACTCTTGAATTCTCTAGTGCATAGTCAATCACTTTTTAGATGTCCCCTTTAGAGAAGATGCATTTCCTATACAAAATGTGGTCTGTCATGGCTGGCCAGTCTGTCAAAACTGGGTACCTAACTGTCTAAGTCAACATCTCTCCCTGGCTTAGCTGAACAGGATACTGTGGAAGAGCAAGCGAATTCAACTTGGGAGTGCTCATCCAGTTAAGACAAAAATCAACACCCATAGGATTGTACATCCTATGCTTAAAGGAGAACAGCAGCTTGTTTAGATAATCTTTGACAACCTTACCTAGGATCTTAGATGTGTTTCACATCACTGTCTAGCAAAGTGAAAGGCTTATTGTTGCAGCTGTAGTAGCTACTGCCTCTGGCACCAGTGTACTGCCAATTCAGATTATGAGGGTCCAAGTGGTTTTCTGACTTTCTCATTTTATAGGTGATTTTATATGGAACTTGTATCTTGGAGACTTATTTAAGCACATAAGTAGCAGCTGGTGTAGACAAAGATCGAAACATTTAGTAGAATTTCAAGTAAAGGTACAAAGTCAATATTTTCCATGTCTAAAGACATCTTCTCCAAATGGGAACTGCAAGGATGTTCTGATGAGTTTTATAACAATTGGTCTTTATCTGTGTGTAGGGGTAAGGTTTAGGGTTATTTTTATTTCAGCTATAAAATTTCCACTGAAACTGTTTAGTCTTCCAGAATGAAACTCCCTCTGAAAATGAATTCTTTTATTGTTTCCATAGGTACCGATAGAACTATAGACAAGTGATCTCTCAACCTTTTTTATCACTCCATCAGTTAAAACCCAAAAAACCACAAACCCACTGAGCAGGTGCCAGCCATATCTGTATATTTATTTATAAATTATATTCATAGAATCATGAAATGGTTTGGGTCATCTAAAGATCATCTAGTTCTAACCCCCCTGTCATGGACAGGGACACCTTCCACTAGACCAGGTTGCTCAAAGCCCCATCCAGCCTGGCCCTGGAAGTGTTCAAAGCCAGGTTTGATCCCTGCACATGAAATTGATTTATTTATCTCCCTTCCTACTTTTATATGTCTTGGATTTGGCATAGGAAAGGCCAAATAAAGTTGTAGAACATTCAGTGGTCTGTTTTACAGTGGCTTTTTCACACCCATGAAAGAACTGGGTATTTGACTTTGTTTATTGCAGAGCCTAGGGGTACTTGCTTTACTTTTGTAACTTAAAGGTTATCTTCATTCCGTTAATTTGGACTAAGACACTCTTAGGTTTGACTTTGAATGCTTCTGGCACGTTTTCTCAGTGCTAGTATTCAAATCCATGTGATCTGCACTTGAGACATCTTTGTTTGCAGTTTTTGCTAGGTACTCCCCTATAAACAGGCTTTCACCATCTTTAAGGGAAACTTAGAAAACTTGTTGCTTGGGGGTTGTTTTCTACTTCCAAAAGGTTATTGTCCAGCAGGAAATTATTCCACAACCAGTTTAGGAGAGAACAAGGGGATCAGCTTAAGGAAGGGGGAGCTTTGCTGGACTGTCCTAGTCTTAAGATATAATGATTCTAAATTTCTTTCTGAATGTGAACTTTGTAGATTTACAGGGTGCTGTACCAGGGGTTAGCTTGCTTGTCCTCTTCCCTTACCACCTTATTTACCATGTCTTAGCATGCATCAGTTTTTAGAGCCTGTTTTGGGGTAGTGATTGCATGGCTTCTACATGGTTGACTTCCTAAGCATGTGCATCCCAATCCTTAATGTATCTCCAAACATCATGTGCTATTTGAATGCCATCTGTGTTAACATTAATGGGAAGTGACAAGATGCAAATAAGCATATGGATAGAACTTAATTTTCTAGATGAGCTAAGTATATGCTGCATCCTTCTATGCTTTTCAGCAATGTGGCTGTTGGTGTGCTGTTAGTGTACTGTGATCTGGATGATTTTTTTATTCTTTGTTATTGGGGGACAGTTGTTAACATATTCCCACCAACTTTTATACTGAAATTCAGCAAGAGAATTTACATCACAAGACTATCTGCAACAGCTTTACTAATAAACAAAGAATTAGACCTTCAGTTAGTCTCAATGGAATTTTACATTCTGAACTGTTGTATGGAGTTGATAATCCACATAGCTACAGCTGTGGTAGGCTTTGTTTAGAAGTATAATTTGTTACTGTTCTGCAAATTCTAGGTAAAAATATAGATAGAATAAAAGGGGTATTTTTTTTTCCCGAACGTCCAACATACGTCAGAAGCCATAGCTGTGTTTCAGGGTCACTAACAGGTAGTGGCAGAGGTTTTTTGGTTTTGTTTTTGTTTTTTGTTTTTTTTTTTAATTGTGCTACTTGCTGCATTCTTCATGCTGTTTTGAATCCATAACCTTCAATAGTGTGAAGTTCTGACCTGAAACCTTAGAATGTACAGTGTTTCAGTTTAACAGCTGCAGTTAAACACTGTTGCATTGCTTTGACTTGCAGCATGGTGTATTATGAGAAGAATTGAATAGCCTGTTGATAGGAGAAATCTAGAGTCATATTGTTAGTTGGCTGGTAATATAAAATAACAAATGCAGAGTAGGATTTCCTTCTGACAGTCTTCCCTTCCATTCTTAGAAGGGAGGTAGTGTCTGGAAGATTAATGTCAAACCTTCCATTCTGTGCTCTTTCTAGAGATTTGGGGTAGGAGTAAGGGAGTTAACTGTAGGGGCTCTGTAGAGAAGTATGAGTTGGTGCTGCAACTGAAATTCTTGTTTTTTCTGTGGAGATGCAGGGCTTGATGTATGGTGTTGAATTTGGCCACTACCTAAAATACTAATGTTACTTGCACATACAAACAAGAAGTTACCACATAGCTTGTAAGTGTTTGGTTTCCAGTAACTTGTTGTCATTACTGAAGTGCAGCAAATCAGTTTATCCTAGTTGCACAACCCAAGGTGAAGAAACAAAGCTGCTTAAGCACTCACTAAATTAAATTTTGTTTACACCTTAAGAGATGTCTCAATCTACTAGTATGAGTGGCATCAGAGTACAGCTTCCTGTGTCCTGATTTGTTTGACTGTCTTCAGACTTTTTGTGTCATGTAGAATTGGCAGGTGATATTTATAAAACAGAATGGCCAGTTTCATAATTGGGTTTGAAGTTATGGATGGTCTGTACTTATTTACCATTAGTTGTGATGTTGCCTTATGTGGTGTTTCAGCATGCAAAACATCAATATGTACAGAAGCAGGTAAAGTAACTTAGCCAGATAACTAGAATCCTAGCTGGAGTGAAGAAAAAGCAAAACAATCCAGTATGAGCATTTTTTACAGGCTCTAATGATGTTTTAATATTTCTTTAATCATAAGTTACCTAGTGCACTTGGATACTTACTACACTTGGGATGCAGCGTGGCAGGAGAGACCAAGGTTGCATTACAGTCTTAAATGTATAGATGGGGAAAAGGAAATTGAGGACCTTAATTTTTGTGGTTTTTTTGACAATGACTTAAATATTTGGATGGGACATTCTTCAGCATATTTGAAGGTGTGGTTTTTTTTCAAGTTGGTCTTGGTGTGTTAGCTCTAAAATTTTGCTTATTAGATTACGTTTACATTGAAGGGTGAAGATGTCAACCGGACACTTGAAGGTGGGAGGAAGCCTCTTCACTATGCAGCAGACTGTGGACAGCTTGAGATTCTGGAGTTTCTGCTATTGAAAGGAGCCGATATTAATGTACGTACATCAATTTGCAAACAGATGTTGGAGCATTATGGTCTGTCTTCCCCTGCCTCTCCCTCGCCCTCACCAAGGAATTGGTATAAGTGCTTAAATGGTTACTGAAAGACTTGGATCCAACTAAGCAATTTGCTGTATTTAAAAATATTTGAGAGGCAGTTTCCTGCAGGTTAGAAGCTTAAGATTACATTTATTAAATGTTTTTCAACACACCAGGAAAAGTTGTTTGTAGTTATAAAAAGTTTAAATTTAATTTGACCTTTATTAGAAAAATAGAGAGATCACATCTAAATAAAGTTTGCATGAAATACATATTAGATTTGTTGGAAGCGACTTCAGAAGACAGTGCAATGCATCCTTGGGCAGGGCAGGATCAACTCTGTTTAAATGGGTGTGCTGCTTTCTTTTGAGACATTCTTGCTTGTGCAAACTTAGTCATTTTACTGTAGCTTGATATGCAAAGCCTTTTGTCGTGAAAAGATCTGGCTGGGCTGTATTGGTACTTCAAAACAATGAAGTTCTCCATGAAGTGAAGTTTCTAAATATTTTAACTGTACACCCCAAACACTGTGGTTTGGAATAATTCTCTGAAAGTTAATGTATAGGAGGGTATCTTAACTTTGGTCCTTAACAACAAATGACTTGGATTTTTTCCTTGGTGTCTGGAAAGACCATTGTTTCCTCAGGAGTTCGTTTAATGGGAATGGAGGGAAAAATAGGAACGTTTCAGTTGCTCCATTTCTTATTCTTTCCAGGACTATAGATTAGAGAGGAGAAAACAGCTTAAACAGTGTTTCAGCCAAAACTGGTTTCTGAAGTAAGGCTGGCTGGGAAATGGAGGAATTAGGAGTAGTGGTTTTAAATTGGGAAAAATTTGTCTAGCTGAGACCCTGCAGCATATGTCATTGGCCTAAAAAAATAGGCAAACTTTGGTATACCTTAAAGGTGTTATGGAAGAAATATCTTGCTGTTACCTGTTTTTTAAACAATGACTTTTCTTTTTAAAAGGAGAGTAAAAACTTCTGAGGGAATGCATTTCTGGATAATATTCTTAATTTTTTGTATTGTCAACAGCAGAGTGAAGGTAAGGATTTAAGTGAAACCTTTTAATGCTGTGTGAACTTGTGCTTCAAATAACTGTTTCTCAATTTACAGGCTCCAGACAAACACAATATCACACCACTCCTATCGGCAGTCTATGAGGGCCATGTTTCCTGTGTGAAATTGCTTCTGTCAAAGGTGAGACAAATGTTTAGAATAAGTTATCCATTAGTGACATATGTTGCTGTGATTTTTATTTTTTTTTTAATAAGATTATGATGTTCCAGATAAGTCTGAATATCAAACAAATGTTTATGTTGCTAAACCAGAGAGGGTGCTCTGATTATGGAGAAAATAGTTGAAGGAGAAAGTTCCAGCACTTTTACAGTGTAGAAAATGTAATAGTGACAATTGAGTATTGTAAGCTCCAGCTAAAGAGCAATTAACAGCAAATAAGGCCAGAAAAACATTCCTTCAGCAGACAGGGAGGAGTGGGATTTAGCTTTGGCAGCTGCTTAAGTGTTTCATGTGATGGAATCTCCAATGTGATGCTGCTCAGAGGTGTGGTTTCCCTCTGCTTTTGCCAGATGACTGAAAACCCATCTGGCCTGGCAGAGCGAAGGGAAGTAAAAGTTGGAAGACAAGCTTTCTATGTTATGGAGCTTGTAAATTTTGTCCTGGGGAGAATAAGCTTGGTCTGTTTCTGTTCTACCTTTGATTCGTATTGCAAAGGAGATACAGTTAATTCAAGCAGTGTTTTGTCTCCATATGTGCTTGTTCTGTTATATCACACTTTGAAAAGAGGAGGTTAGCAGTGTATTTTCAGTATATGAATCCACTTAAATCATTTGGCCAAAGGATTTCATGCTGTGTAATGTTTTCATATGGCACTTCCAAAATAAAGTTTTACTTAACTGCCCTAATGCTGCATGAATTTAACTTCACTTCTCTGATGCTGTCTTATGTTAGTTATGCCTCCCTGTGAAGAAATGCTGTGACTGTTAATTTAGGATTCAAATGGTGCATCCAAATCACTTAAATTTGTCATGAGGACTGCTCTTTCATTTAGGATCATTATATACAGGTCACAAAAGAGGTATCCTTTATCCCATGTTGTATTTCTTTCCTTTTTTGTTTTGAAGTGTTTTGCATTCTAAGTTGCTCAGATAATAAATAAGATGCCTCAAAACTTCATGCATAAGTTGTCTGGTGACTAATAAAGGTTGTGTATTAATTGTAATCTCTGTCAGCAAGGGCGTTAACATCCGTCCTGAACCAGCTATTTTTCACGCAGTTTGTAAGGTGGTATTGATCTCTATACTTAGTACAATTTGAATGGCAGCAATGTGTTTCACGGAATTTCAGCTGACAGTGCTTTCCTATGGTAAAGCATAGTTTGTAACTCTTCGTATTACTCAGAAAGGACTATTTTGGAGTTCTTAGCTAATGCTTGTCACACGTGGAAGTTGAATTTTGTGGTGACTGTGTCTAAAATACAAATGACACTTTGGAATAGTGAAGACTGGTGGTTTATCTGGGCATTACTGGCAGCCTGTATACATTTGAACTGGCAGAACTGTAGAATCACTTAGGAAAGACCCGTAAGGTTATCAAGCCCAGCTGTTAACCTAACACTGCCAAGTCCATCACTAAATCATGTCCCGAAGTGCCACATCTACACATCTTGTAAATACCTCTGGGAAACATGACTCAACCTTTCAAGCCTGTTCAAGTCTTTGGCCACCCTTTCAATGAAGACAGTTTTCCTAATATCCAGTCTAAACCTCCTTTGGTGCAACTTTCCATTGTGCTGGCATTCAGGTCTCTGAATAGAACTGTACGCTGTCAAGTTGTATCCTCACCACCATTATGGAAGCATTACCTGTGGCTAGGTTTGCTCAGCTTCTGAATAAAATTACTGTTGCAGGGGAGTTGTTGAGTTGCATACCTTATGTCTAAATCTTGTGACTGTCAGTGGCTTGAATGTAAATAAAATTATATAAATAATCTCCTTTCTGAAAATCCAAAAGGTCTTAACTCTTAACCTTAATTCTAAACTTGAATAGCTTTGTTTTGGGCATTCGTAACTATAGTAGGGAGATAGAATTTAACTTGCTGCTTTCTAAAGAAACAAAGTTGAAAAGTGTGGTATGTGATCTATAAATAGACCTTGCCTTGGGCATTTTGAAATACTTCAGCGTTAAAGCAGTTTTTGAGGCTGTACCTTTTGACAAGACAAAACATTCAATGGCATAAGGAGTCTCAGTTCCCTAAAATGGATTTTGTGTGGCAGCATTTGGAAACGGGTGAGGAATCTAGCAAGACTTTACGAAAAACAACTTTGTTGTTAGCCTTGTCAGGATTGATAAGAGTTTGTGGACATTAGGGGGGTGACCTAATTAAGCAAGTTTTGCCACTGGATGCCTTGTAACATACAGTCAATGTGCAATCATGTTTAAATTTGCCCAGCAGACACTTGAGTTGTCCTCAGAAATTTAATTTGAGGTGTTCTGCAGGAGTTTTAATCTGCTTGTACAGAGTCTTTCTTGCTATGCTGTTCCTTCAGTGCGAGATGAGCGTGCTGTCTACCAATATCAGGCTGCAGTTACGTGTTACAGCTAAGCCGATGCAAAGGTTAGTTGCCTGCAGAACATGAGATTCTGATCAGCCTTTTAGTACTCTTACCTGCATATTACTACTGCTGCTTCCTTGCAATAGGCCTGGCACTTAGCCCTGTTCATTTGTCCCTATTGCAAGTTAATTTCTGTAGTTAGTTTCCTGCGAACTGAGGACTCCAAATTAAAATTCTTTTGCAGATTTAGTTCCTTATGTTGGTTTATGGAATTGAAGAAACACTGGTGCCAAATCAAGAGCCAGAACTGAAGTATCTTCGGTTTCACTTCAGCTGCTGCCATGGGAGTTTTTTCAGGCCTTTTCTAGTGTGACCTGCCTGTTCCAAAATGTGGTCTCCTGGGTTTGATTCACTTTTGTAGATATACAGTAGAACCCGATTTCTCTGTTTTACTGCTCAACCTAGTCTCTGTGGTGTTCTTTGTAAATGGCAGATGGTGTTTGCTTGTTGCCATATACTAAATGCTTGCTCAGCTGTCTCTGTTGTGGCACTATTTTTGTAGGGATAGATGAATTGCAGAAGAAATTTAGGAATAAGAGACATGGAGCAGATGGGAACGATGAAGCTGAAGTCCTTTTAGCTAGCCCTCTAGTGTCCCTTATACCCACATGTGCCTTACGTTATTAGTTACAAAGGCACAAGTGATCTCTTTCTCTCCATTACCATACTTCATGTTTATTCTTGAAGAACTATGGGGAAAGTATTTTTTTGCAAGACTATTTGTCATCATAATTTTGAAGACCTGGTTTGATTTTTATTAGTTTTGATAAGCTAAAGAAACACCAGCTGTTGTCATTTGACAGCAGGTACGTGGGATAAGGATTAATGCATCTTTATGCCTTTCTTGTGCAGCTTCAGGGAGCTGGCATGTACTAATTCTGGATAAGTTTAGATTTCATAGATTTTATTTTCTGCCTTTTCTGTCCCACTGTCTCCCTAAGAATGCATTAAACTTTCTTGAGTCAACCATAGCTCCAAATTATGACATAGTTAACATTTTATAAACTACTTGGTGATCCTGTAGCATTTGGCTACATATTAAAACTGGAGTGACAAAAAAAACTTGCAAGAGAATGCCTTCCTTAACACACACAGGATTATAACACTTACTCCAGTTTTTCAAATTGCTGTTTCTGGATGAGTATTAAGAGCTTCATAAACCAAGTGATTTAGCTCTAAGTTTCATCTTAGAATCCCTGCAAGCATTTAAAGTGTGATCTTCTGTTAAATGTTATGGGATTACCTGTCTTTAGTTTACCCTTGGAAAGTACGTTCATTAAATATGGTGAATTAAGTACTGTGAAGAAGAATCACTTGATGGAATTGCATGGTGGGTTTTACAGGAAGTATTTTAAATGTGATTTTAATGTTCATTAGTGGTTGCAAATGAGTACTCTAGCAGATTTGAGCAGTAATTTTGCAGCTTCAGAAAGCAAACAGTGCTGCTTTTGCTCTTTAAGTCCTTTGTTTGGTATTGAATTTGTTGACAATGTTTTAAGGATTTTTTCCCAAGTTTTCAGCTATTTTAATGGTTGCATAGATTTAACCCCCAATATTTTGGTTTTATCTGTTTTTTCTATACATGGAGCATAGAAAAAAAACTACTTTGAATTATGGTTTTACAATAAGGATAAGGTTTTACTTTGAACTGTAGCTTTACATATTGCCATAATTTTTATTGGTATTCAAGTTTAAACATACAACCAGATATAACGAACATAGTTATTTTTCATAAATAAACCAATTTGAATTGTTTAAAACAAAGTGAAATAGTTATATGACTTCGCTCTCATAATTACTGATAGACACTTAAAGGGTATATATTACGTTCTTCCAAAGGTAGTTTCTCAAAAGGGCCTTTGATACACACTTTCTTCTGAAGTTAGCATTTCATTGAGGATTTCCTGATGTGCTGTTCGGATGTTTTAGTTTTGGAATCAGCAATGCTCAGTTTGATTTATTGCACTAGAAGAAACTTAAATGCAGTTTGAAAACTTTAGAAGTTGAGAACACAAATGATTTGATTTCAAGTACTGCTGTTGTGCTAAAAATAATTGTGATCAGCCATAACCAATTATTGTCATGATTTTGATAGATTGGATTCATTAAATGATTTTCACCATATCAGAATCGTGGTCATCTCTGATGGTGCAGGCCTGCCCAAAATGTGCTTAAAACACTGATAACTTAAAGATCAAAACCAAAGTTTTTGTTGGCATATTTAAAATGCTCAAGTAGTGTCATTTCTTCCAGACCTGTAAGGATTAAAGCTGCCATACTAGTCTGAAACTGCCAATTTGTTATAAAACTGTAAAACATAAGTGGGGGAAAAATTACAACATGAAGTTCTGTACTTGAAACTTTTCTGTACATTAGAAAAGACTTTACCTTACATTTGGGCACAAGATTTTGATGTTTAGGTTAACAAACAGCTGCTACATGTATACTAAATCAGCCTCCAAAAAGCTTAATTAACATACTGTCACTAGTAGGTAATACAATATCATACTAATTCTCAAAAATTTAAAGACTAATGAAACAGGTAGTGGATGAAAATAGTTTTTACTGCCCTCAACAAGGGATAGGTGAATTTACTAAAGTAGAATGAGTGAAATCTTAATGTGTTATAAATACCAGAAGTAGCACAAACCCTTTAGGTCAGAGCTGAGTCATGCTTTTCTAATAGATGTTTTTTTTGGTCAGGCTGGAGATCAAAATACTGTATCCTTAAAACATATCTTCTGAAGAATTCATTTTGCCTGTTCCTACAAAACTGACCCTTTTAAATAATCCTTCCATTTTAAACTATCAAACCTTAATTATACAGTATATAATGCAGAAATAGTTTTTGGATTTCTTAGTATGTCATGCAAGTTTATGAAAATATGTTGGATATCATACTGTAGACATCCCAGTTGGATATCATACTGTAGACATCCCAAAGAGCAGACCTATGGAGGCTTGCAGAGTGAGACCTAAAACTGTTTTATCAGCATCTGAGTTTCAGTTGCAAATGTTGCCTTGCTCTGACTTACTGTAATACATGAAAGTAATTAGCTTTGGTCTAAAGATCACTTCCTGCTTAAAATATAAAGGTAGGTCTTGTTGTCCTGCTATTATATTAACTATATAGTGCTTTTTATTAATCTTAAAATATTTTTATTGGAATTTGAGGCAGATTAAAATAGTCTGTAATTTTAAACAGTAAGGTTGTTTGCAGCATATTCTGACTTCGAAACAAGAAATGTGTTAATTTTCTTCTGCCTTTTCAGAACTATTATTAATGCTAAGTAACATATTGGGAGATATTCTATTATTAGGGGGAAAATTAACTTTTAGTAGCTTTTGTCAGAATTGTATTCTAAAATGCCTGAATTTTATTTTGCTTATGTTACTTACCAGCTTTCTACAGAACAAAATAACAGATATGTAATGAACAGTAATGAGCTGGACTGAAGCAACATTAGTTGCTGTATTTCAGTTTAGTTTTATTCTTTTCAGCGATAGTGGAGTTAAGAGATATCTATTTGAAAAGCAGAAATATATATTAAATTCAAATTGTTCAATTTTTTCCTTTAAGAATCTTATATTTGATTTTGTAATGTAAAAAGATACTTGGTTTTGGTGTAGTATAGGAAAAAACAATATAATTTTACAATGGACAACTGAACAGATTTTGAATGCTTTTAATGGAGGATGAGATTTGTGTTGAAAGATAGAACAAATCCATTTGTTCAGATTTCAAAAGAGTTCTGCTTTTTCTAAAAAAAGAAATACCTGGTTGAGTTAGGCAATTTAGCACCTTTCTTCTATTCTGACGGTGGCAGAAAGGATGCTGTTGGGGCAGAGTTTTGAGTATGACCACTTAGGCTTACATATTCCCTTCATTCGTAGTTGTTGCATTGGGGATTTTAGAGGTATACACATATATCCTCTTTAAGAAATGTTTATAGATTTGTTGTCCATGAGCTCATTCACATCTGTTTTGAACAAGCTGACTGACATCTGCCTCTGTAACTTCACCTGGCAACTTGTTCTGGAAGTTTTCTGCTTGCTGTGTAAACCAGACTTCTAACAGCTTCAGTAAGTGCCTTCCAGTTCCAGTTTCACAGGGCTTTGTGACAACTCTGCATTGCTCCCTCCTGCCCCTCCTCCCCGACCTAAAGTTATACCCCAGTAGCTGTTGTGCAGCCTTCAGGGCATGTTTAACATTTGTGCTTTGCCCCGTGGCTTAAGAGGGAAAACATTCTTATTTGTTGTTACCCTGCCAAAGAAAGTTTTTTATATATATATATTTT